GGAAAACTGCTTGGAAAAAAAATGCAGTATTAACACAGGCAACATAAGTAAATCTGAAAGTATTCTTGTGTGAAAGAATCCAGAATTCAGACTTTAAAAGATATTTAATATATGATTTCACCTTATGATAATCTGGAAAAGCAAAATTATGGACAAGTGGTTAAAATAATGGCCCCAAGAGATGTCCACACCCACTGGTCCCCAGAATCTGCGCGCATTAATGTTACACGGTAAAAGGGACTTTGTACATGGAATTTCAGACCTTAATCTCCAAACTGCTCACTCAGGCCTGGATTTGGTCTCTGTCCCAGCCACTCCCAGTCTATCCACAGCAAGAGCTAATCTAAGCTTCCTGATGACCAAGGCCACTGGCCAGCACAGAGCTTGTGATTTACATTTTGCTGTGACACTCAAACAGGTTAGAATCTACACTGCCTCAAAAGGAAACATCCGTCTTTAAACAAGACATGCATTCTCAGATTGGCAAACACTGAAAAACCTAATGATTGAAAACTGTTTCAAAGAACTACTGGAAACTGCCCAAATCAGAGATCTTCCGTCAATGCTGTTGCTTCAAACTAAGAGGCAGAGCCCAAAGGAATAGATGACTCACCAGGACTTTTAGCAGCCAACAGAGGTGTCCTCTGAGAAATGCAATAAATCCAATATTTTTCTCTAAAAAAGTCAATGTTTTACAAATGGTACCCCTTTTGTAAGAGGTACACACTACCCTCCACTTGTAGCTCACCATCAGTGTCAGTAACTCTCCTAATTTTTATCAAAACTGAGTGCACAGGCCGGGGATTTAGATCAGTGGTGCTGCCACCTGCCTCACAAATGCAAGGACCCGAGTTCGATTCCCACTACCAAAAAAAAAAAAAAAAAAAAAAAAACTGAATTCAGCTCTTTCCCAGTTTTCTTATAGCATTTTTAGTATATATTCTCTTACCAGGCCTGCTCAGAGGAATAGCACTTCTCTTTTTAAAAAAATTTTTTTAAAACTATTCCTCACAGCCTACAGTCAACCAAAAGTCCATATTATCTTATTTTGTGTTATAGTTTAGATATGAAATGTCCCCCCAGAAGACTCATGTGTTAAGATGTTGGGCTTTTGGGAAGCGACTGGATCAGAGGCAATACAGCTGACTTGTTGTTAGCAGGTAGAATCTAGTAAGGGGTGTGTCACTAGAGGCAGCATGCATGACCTGAAGTCTATGTTTCTCTCCCCAGCTCCTTCCTTGGCTCACTCTGCTTCCTGGACACCCCGATAGGAGCAGCTTTCCTCCGAGCCAGACCACCACGCCATTTCTGCATTTGAGCCTGCCAACCATGGACTGAAACTTCTGCAACTGTAAACCAAAATAAAACTCTTCTCCTTTAGGTTGTGGGTGTCAGGTATTTTGTCCCAGAGAGGAGGAAAGTGACTAAGACAATAAGTTAAATATGTCAAAGTAAAGGTTCCCAGAACCAGCAAAGAGATCAATAAATATTTAAGTGCTTTCTGAGAACAGAGTGCTGGGAAGTATAAAAAAGCAAGCACGGATGGTCCTTGTCACTACACATGGCTTACAATATCACTAGATATACAATCAAAACTAATAATAATCTAAAAATTATGAGGTCATGTGCAAAACAATTGTTTCAGTCACTCGAAATAGGGAGAGAATGTTTGTAGCTAGGAAGATGAGAGGAAAAGAGATTTACATGGGAGATGGACAAAAATGCAGAAACTGTAGCGATGATTCCTCCAAGATGGGACAAGTTTCTTAAAAGAAAAACCTAGAAATGTCACCTGCAAAACCTCTCCTGAATACAACTCCATAAGAATGAACAGGACTTTTTTTAAAGGAAAAAAGTGAATTCAGTTTCAAAATTATTTTCTGGGGAAGGCAGAGGAAGGGGATTTAAAAAAAAACAACAAGTTGTAATATGCATATGTAACTACCCCCAAGATGACTGTAAACTGCCCAAATTGCAAACATGTACTAAAAATCAATAATGTAATAATAAATAATAATAATGTCTGGGATTCTGAATGTAGGCTGTACTGAAAGAAAAACTGACTACATTTCTGTTTTGTTTTGTTTTGTTTTGTTTTTGGTACCGGAAGTGAACTCGGGTTCTTGCGCTTGCGAAGCAGATGCCACAACCACTGAACTAAATCCCCGGCTACATTTCTGGATGGTTCTGGGTTCTCTGGTCATTCCCATCCAGTCTGTGCCCCATTTGAACTTGACTTGGCACCTTTCTACCCAGTGCATCAGCATAGTACAAATTACAGAGCTGTATTTAGATCCACATTATTAATTAACAACAGGAAGGGTTCTAACACCAGCCAAACCAAGTTTCGACATGGGTTAGCATCTGGCAATCTTCAGCTCCGTAGCCTCATTCACCAAGAGATATTCAAAACAATGTTCCTACCAGCACTATCCAAGGCAGCCCCAAAGTGAAACTAATTATTTATCAACAGTTACTGGATAAATAAATTGTGGAAAATTCATATCATGAAATACTACAGAATGAGAATGAATTTGACAAACAGTCTTGGTCACAAAAAAAAAAAAAAAAACCCACCAAAAAGAACATACTATATGCTTTTATCTATATAAAGTTTAAAAAGAAAACAAGTATCAAGAATCAGAACAGTATTTACTGTGACAGAAGAGAAATTAAGAACTAGAATCCCGAATACCTCTTTCTTAGTCTGTAAAGTTGTTATAAGGAGCATTTACTTTATGAAAAGTCATTGGGCTGTACAATTCATGATAACACTTTCTATATGAATACCTCATTTCAATGAAAACTGTCTACTGTGTTAAAGGATGAGGAAATATAATTTTATAATTAAAAAGTAACAGCTGGGGATTTACCTCACTGTTGGCGCTATCTACCTCGCAAGCACAAGGTCCCAAGTTTGATCCCCCAAACCAAAAAAAAAAAAAGCAACTGTTCACATTCATAATTTTGTTTAAATGTCTTATGTATGTGTATGTTCATTTTCTTTAGTCAATAGTGTGTATTGTATTTAGACAGAAAATCAATATATTCCCTTGGTAATGCCATAATAGTAAACAAGGAAATTTATTAATGCTAAAAATAAAGGTCTCTGCTTTGCCCATGGATTAGGGATGATTTATTACTCCACTTCATTGGTCCTCGTAGGAGATGAGGAGGGAGGGAATGAAAGGGAGGAGGAGAGAAGGGAAAAGAAGGGGTGGGGAGAACTTCGGACTCTAAAACCTTCGGAGGAAAAAAACCAGGGTCACTAGTATATGTCCAATGCTGCCCAAATTTCTGTTAAAAATTTTGTACCAGCCAAAGGGCAAAAACTACATGTCCGCAGTAACTCTCGTCTGTGAAGAACAAGGTCAGGAAAGAGCAGATCAGTCTGTGGACAGATTCTGGCTGACAGTTCTAACCCCAGCAAGCCACTGTCTGCTCCAGGTACTCCCTATATATAGCACTAACTATAAAAATTCCTTCCTAGTCAATAATGGTAGAACACATCTTCTCTGCAAGTAAACCCTAAGCTAGGTCTCAAAATGAATGGCCATCCACATAGCACTGGAGATCAGGGTTTCCTAGTGACTGGAAATGCGGTGGAATTGAGCAGTACTGGGGTAAGTGCCTTCTTAAGCAGGTACAGGATAAAGCCCGAAGGCCACAGCTTTGCTTGGGTTCCCCTATCGCGGCGCTGCTCAACGGGTACAGCCAGTACCTGGGACTGCGGCAGACAACCTTGGCAAAAATGCAGGGGACAGCTTGGGCCCAAAAAGTCAGGCTCTGGCGCTAGAGAAAGGCCAGGTGCTCTCCTCTGATAACCTCGGAAAATTGTCACCTGTCAATCACTTGACCTAAATACACCAGTCACTAGGGGGAAGGGGGGAGGGGGTTAGTTGGAGCATGCTCAGTGATCAGGATGACATCACTTAATCAATGCTGGGGACGGGAAGGCTGCATCAGCAGCCTGGAGCGGGTTGCCAGGAACGTGTCAGCCGGGACTGGGAGGTTCGCATTAACTTGCTCCCTTCCCACGCGACTCGCATACAAAAGGGGGACCCCATCAGCCACACAGCGGAGGGTCAAGGAGGGGGAGGGGGACAGGGCTGGTGTATTTAATGACAAACTTCTTTAGGAACTAAAATCTTTCCCCACCCCCAGCAGCCTGGGCTAGAGGGAGACCAAGTGGGGGAAGGGAGGAAAGGTGGAAAGGGCGATCAAGAGGGAGGGGACCCCAAGTCACACAGAGTAACTTCTGCTCTAGGCACTGAGGGAGGGGCTGTTTGGCCGCTCTCTGTGTGCCCTCGACCCACAGATGTGGACACAGCCTCCTTTCCACCCAGCACGAAGCATAAGTCACGATCTGCGGACACCAGGTGTCAGCGTGGGGGCTGCGGTCGTCCATGCAAAGAGGGCACACAGCCAGGGCATCCTGGGGTGACAGGAAGCTGAAACAGACACACCAGGCCTCCTGGGGTCACTAAGACCACCAATATTCCCTTCCACCCTCCACCTTCCGCGGGCTGAGCAAGGTGAAATACCGCGGGGTGTCGCGTCTACAGGCCCACAGGAGGTCACTTCTTTTTTCTTCCTCTTTCGCTAAAGTCGTGATAATAAGAAACAAAAATGTTCGACAGATCGAACTAGTGTCTGGAAGCGTTTGTGGGTGGCGGAGCTTTAAACTCTGAATGGGGGCCTGGGCACCCAGGCTTGCGGGTAACCTGAACACACTACCCACCGGGTGGCGAGTGAGGGAACAATAGGCCCACCCTGGCCCCCACCCCGCGAACAATGGCGGATCGATCCGTCCTCGCCCCCAGCTCATCCCCAGCCCCGGGCCCGCCCAGTGTCCCCAGCGGAGGCGCGAGGGGCCTCTCGCGTGTCCACCCGGGAGGGAGCCCCAGGGGCGTCCGAGGGGGCGGCTCGAACATCTCCGCCCTGTCTGGGGTGTCGGGGCGCCGGGCGAAGCAGGGGGGTCAGACGCTCTGGCCACTTACCCCGATCACCACGGTCTCGTCGCCTTTGAATTTGGGGATGAATTTGTCTCCGCGGAGGATCTCCGCTTCGTTGAGGGGCCGGAACCTGCACATCACTTTGATGCTGCATTCGGCTGGATCCGCCATCGCGGCCGGCTACGGGGAGGGGGCGCGGGAATGGGTGGG